AATGTGAATTTTTTTTTCTCTCTGAGTGCTTTTAACCAAATTTTTTTAATAGAAGTTTGGGATGAAAGTTAACACATAATAAGCAGGTTTATCAAGTGTACCTGATGATGACTAAACCTTGTCGAAATGTTGTACATTTGCTGTTATGTTAAACTTATATTAAAGTTTTTCTTCATTACCCATTCAAGCCGTCTCCAACCATTATTAGTCTCAAAGTGGGTTCCTTGTCATCGAATTTAACAACAAAACTGTTGTACAAAACACTGAAATCTAAATATTGATTTTTTTTAGATTTTTTTGAAACAGGCAAGTTTGGAACTTATGATTTTATTTATATGAACAGCAGTTTTTAACATATCTAATTTTTGACATTGATCACAAAGTGAATTCCAAGTAGTATAAAGTCCACTGTGAGTGGTCTTATGACATATGGATGTTTGAAAGTCTACATTTGTATTTTTAACAAGAATATTTAGGAATGACAATTTGTCATGAACTTTGTTTTCTGTTGTGAATATTTTGTTTGGGTTTATCTAGCTTAGGTTATAGAAAAAGTCATAAATGATATCAGAGTTATTGAAAGCTGATCAAATGTTTTCACCTTACTGGAACCAAAAAGTGTTTGTCAAATGAATTTGAAAAAGCATTGTCATTAATTCATATCATGATTATATATTGACAAGTACTGGGGCTGTAGGATATCCCAGGCATAATATAATTTAAAACTTAAAACTAGAAATTGGATGATTTATCTGCATGAGAAGTGGGTCTCTTATGGTGTTGATGTTTACTTGAAAATTAGGATTAAAATTGTTTTGATAACATTTCAGAGCAGCATTTATTACTTCAAGGACAGTGACTTGAATGAAGAAACTTTTACATGAAATGTGACTAATTGAACAAAATGACTGAATTCTCCCAATTTTTTGATAAACATTTCAAAGTTTTTAATGAAGTAGGAAGCACAAGAAATGTATTCAGAAAACATTCAAATGAGGATTTTCCTATAGTTATACTTGTAAGCTTTGTATGCTGAAACAATAGAGCATAAATGGAAACCAGGTATGCGAGTTTTTGGGAGGCCATAAATTTGAGGGGTATGGGGGATGAATAAATTGGTATAGATCAGTAGAAAGTTGAGATGATTTATGTAATTGTAAAATAAAGTGTTTTAATTTCTTTTCTCTGTTAGTTTCCATTTTTGGGAAATGAGATGAATCATTGAGGAGTGTGTGCATCATTTGCTGGTATATTATTCTATTCACGATAACAACAGCATAATCTTTGTCAAATTTAAGTAAATTACAATTTTATCATATTTAAATAGATTTTTTTGTGCTTAATATTCTTATAGAGAAGTTAATTTCAGCATTCTTGGTTTGTCAAGAAGATATGAAATTTATAAACAAAAGACATGAAGAACATTTGGGAGAAAGAAAAAATGGGTAATTGTAGGTTCTGGAGGAAAGTACATTGTTTATTTACGGAAAGATCTTTATTAATTTTACTTTGGGAATGATATCAAAATAACTTGTAACAGATTTGTGAATTGGAAGCAACATCAAAAGAGGTAGATTTATTTGATGAATTAAAACATTCCTGAACAGCTGTTTTTCTAGCAAAGTCTTCTATTCTTATCTGAAGTTCAACTTCGGAGAGACTTAACCATCTTATGAATATTTAACTGCCAGCTGAAAAAGTTAAAACAGCTTGTTATTTTTTCCAATGTAGTGAAAGGGACATAGGCCTATTCACTTAAAAATATGTGCCTATTTAATCTTCACAGTACCTTAGACTGTCTGTCAGTAAATATTTTGCTTTGATAGATGAAATTAGTATTATTAAATAAGAATACTAATCTTCATGAGTCAAAGCTGTTTTTATATTTTGATATTATTGGGAAATAGTTTTATTTAATTTTGGTAGCAGTCTGTATTCACAGAAGAGTTTGCTGTAATTTTCGTATTATTTTGGCAGATTGGAAATGAAAACTTGTTAAATTGTACAGTACAAAATTAGGAAATATGTGATGATAATGACACTTTTGTAGAAAAAGAATATCTAATCTGGATTTCTAGTAAGAAGGTAGTTTTTTTTTCTGCATATGATGAAAGCTATTTTTCACAGAAGTACCAAAGTTAGTAGCAAAATGTTTGTTGAAGGAATTATGAGAAATTATACTATTGTTATAACAGGGGATAAATTTAGTCCTATGAAGAGTAGAAATATTCTCGAAATAGTTTTGTCATTAGATTTAAGATCAGGTGGAGATGGTTATAAAATCTTAGACCAAGAAATGTTGAAAATAGATTCTCGATGATGTTGAAATTTTTAACAACTGAAAAATAATATGAATTAGATATTAGAAATTACTAAAAGAAATATATATATATATGAAAGATGGTTTTTATCAGTTGTACAGAATAAAACTTCTGTTTATTTTGTCACAACATTTCACTAGGTCTGGCTGATATCATCAGATAAGATACAACAATTGGTGCTAACAAAAATATTCTACAAAGCATGTGATTTAAATAAATATAAATATGTAAGTAAAGTTTTAAGGCTTGAGCCTAAGTATGGACATTTGTATTATATACAAGAGAGAGTGATTAAAATGGATACAAATGAACACATTTGTATTTGTTAAGAATAGGGTTTTGTGTTTTTATTAACATAGCTTCTTTTAGTTTTTGTTTGCTAATAGTATCTTCTCTGCTGAGGTGTTTTGCTTTAGAAAAATCAAAAGAATGATTGTTCCTAGATATGTGTTTTAGAAAGCAGTTGACCTGCAGGATGATTTTTTTCTTACCAGGTTATTCAGGTGTGACACTTGCTGTGTTTTTCAGAAGCCTCCTTTAAATTATTATGAGGTAATTTACCCACATTTTCCCAACTCATTACCTCTGTCATACCTAAATATCCTTTTTAAAAGGTATTGTTAATGTCTTCTTGGTTTACAGTGTCTGTTTTAATTATAATAATATTTTCAACTTTTTTTTTCTATTCTTCTGGTCCTAATGCTGAGTTCCTCGATTTTGTTTGGAGCAGCAGTAACTCTGGATTAGTCTTACATATGGTAGTTTAAGGTACACCTACATACCTAGTCACAAAAGTACTATTTGAAAGTTTAATATCTGATGCATTTGCCTAGTATCATGTGAACTCATTACCCTATTCTTTAATACTTTCTCATTTCTCATTCCTATAAATTGGTTTATGATATGGTTCTTGGACAATTTAAAGTGAGGGATAGGAAATTGTCATTAGCATTTCTGCTCCCTCATTCCTTGGCAGTTGTTTGAATATACACTGTAGAACTTCAAATCCTTCTGTGGTATTTTTAATCTCCATTTTTTCAGAGAGGTGTTAATGATACAGAGATGTGTGTCTATGCCTTAATTTTACACCATCGGTGATGTTCTATGTTAAACCTTTGGTTATGTATTTTTGCTCTGCAGTGCAATTTCCATTGCAGGAGGCACTTTTGAAATACACTGTCAGTGTTGTCTTGCTTTAAATGCTTTTTCAACTCCATAATCTGTGCACAATTGACAGATTCAAGCAACTCTGTTGACTAACCCAAAAGCACAGAAATGTGTGGATGTCTACAAATGGTAAAGTATAAATTTCTGTTTGTATTTGCATTTTGCAAAAGAACTGGTATGTTGACTTGTATGTGTGGCTAGAAGCTTTGTTTTGTTGGAGCCATAATTTATTGGCATCCAATCTGTACAGAAATGATTTTTCCTCACAGTATATCATTGTCAACATGTTATCCTGATAGTATACAGACTATATGGATGTATAACTTTCAGTTATAGTTGTAACCTGCAATCATAATAAATAATTTGAATAAACTTTCATGATGTACTCTGTACCATTTTTTAAATTTGTATCATTAGCATGGTAATAAATTGATTGGGCCTTAAATAGACATATGCTTTGACTGATGTTACAGATGTGCCAGATAGTACTAGTTCACTTTTCAATAGTTAACTTCCCATTTGCTTGTGTACATTGAGAGATGCTTATTATTATGGGTGTTGTGTCACATTTGTAGACTATAGTCTACAGAATTATCTTTTTTTACAGTTCCAAGGAAGGTGTGCTTGATAGCCAGTTGCGATATAGACTATTTTATCAGTGTTGGAATCATACTTTCTCTTACTTTAGTGATACAATTCAACACTACAGACACACCTTTCTTTGCAAAACTAAATTTTCATGTCGAGCATGCTTTTATAGTTGTAAAACAGTTGTACTTAACACAAGAAAGTGCTGTAATATATCCCTCCCTGAAGGGATTAGTTTTAGGTGTTGTCTGCACTTGTAGGTCAGCTCACTCCAGTTGAATGGAACAAGAGCATCAAGGCTTTTTAATCTGTTTAGTTACAAGCTTTGGGGATGACCAGAGGCAAGGTGATTAGTGTACTGTGAAAGTTCAAAAGCAAAAGTAATACAATACGATGTTAAGTGATTGGACTAAAGGTGGAATGAGACACTTACTAAAACTTATCACATAAATGAACTTTTTAACTGAGCTTTTAGTTGCAAGTGATAGATTCTGTTCTAAAGAAGAAAAAGTGTAAAGAACATAGAAAATGTTAGATTACTGAGTTAGCCAAAAGAAATTGGTATTTTTAAATATGTCACAATAACTTGATTAGAATAATAATAAAAGTTTTTATTTTATTTAAATATAGATTTTTTTAAGTGGTTGATATGTAAAGATGTATTAGTATCCTATGGCTGTTTAGTAAACTAAACTTTCAATATAAAATTGTGTACATGTAGATTTTTATAAGTATCAATTCTCTTACTCGGAGATAAACTTTCTGAAAACTTAAATCTTAAGTTTAGCATTTGATGTATGTGTATTGAAATTAAATTTGTGCAATTATACTTATTTTAATCTTTTAACAAATCATTTTGTCATTGTGAAATTATTTTTGTTATTATAAAGATGCTAGTTATTTATGCTCTTTTCTTACTTGCAGTCGAGAATAACAGCAAAAAGCCATCATCAGCAACTGAAGGAAGACGTAGACAAGCAACAGCAATTGTTTTGTTAGGTGTTATTGGAGCAGAATATGGTCATGAAATAGAACAAAGTAAACGTAAACCTGCAGAAGAGCAAAAAAAGAGGAGTGTTGTAGAAGGATTTGGCCTTTCAAATTGCTCTTTAGCCAGGAATACTAGTAAGTAAAAATAATTTAAATGTGAATTTATGAAATTATAAGTTTAGCTTCAGAGTCATACAAAACTAACAGTTGCAGTGCATTAAACTGATACTGAAATTAATATTAAGGATGAGAAATATTTGTACTTTATTTTGTTTGTACATCTATTTCATTTTGTTGTTCGTAATAAATTACATTAGGACAAAAAAAAATTTTGTTGCTGGTTCACCTTGAAATATTCTCCATTAAAAAAATTACTATGATGGGTTAAAATACATTTTTGTTTATTTAAGTGTATCCAAATAGATGAGCTTAAAGAAAGGATAGAAACACAAAGTATATGGGTAATTAATTTCAAATTAATCTTGCTTATGGCTCTGGCATTATTATTTGTTAAAACTATTTGATGACGAGGAACCCACTTTGAGACTAATAATGCTTGGAGATGGCTTGAATGGGTAATGAAGAAAAACTTTAATATAAGTTTTTCTTCATTACCCTTTCAAGCTGTCTACAAGCATTTTTAAAACTATGCTTTTAGTTTTTATTATTCTATTTTATAATTACGTGAAACACTGTACTATCTAACCAGGCAGAAAACTGCTAAATATGAATAATTTCACTAAATAACATGTAACAACTAGCCTAAATATTTACTAATTTATTACTGTTATTGGTATGTCAAATAAATGTCAACTGACAGCTTTCAAAGCTAGGACAATAATCGTTAAACAAGTTTCACATTTGCCTCGGTTTGTTAAACCAATCTGTTAAATTCATTTATAACTGATGTCTCAACTTATGCAAGTTGAAATGGTTGTATCATTAAATATAAAAGTTATTAATAACAAACAGTTTTATTTTGTACAACATGTGAATGTTTGATGTTATTCACAGGAAAAATTAAGAAATCAAAGAGAAACATTTCTACAAGTATTGTTCTTCTTATAACAGTGTTTTATTTTTGTTTTAGTCCTGCATGACTCTTTCAGTTTTAGTAATCAGATTGTTGCCAATTCTAGAAGAAAACTTGGTGGTGATTGAAGAGAGTATGTTTGATAGCTCTCAAACTTCTGGTTAATCTCCTTTGGATTTGTCCATAGACCGCTCACATGTTTGTATATAGGAAAATCTAAATTTTCTGCCATTTGACCTCACTTTAAATTGGTAATTTTATACTCTCTTTAAATATTCCAAGGGCAAATGTCTAAAGAAGTAGCACCAAGTAGTGAGACTACACCAATCTGTTAAGGTTATCAGGTAACTGACACCACACAGCAAATCTTGTTGAACCCTATTTATTCTATTATTTTTTGTGAGTTATATAAATTGAAACTGTTTTAAACTTTTGTTTAGTTTAATTTTACATTGTAGTAAAAACTTCAATGGATGAATAGTTGTCTTCTTTGTTTTTGTTTCTGTCAACAAAGGAAAAACTTTTTCTTGATTATTTGCTGCACCTTATGTTCAATTGAAATTTCTTTGTTTCATTTATTCAAAACTGAAGCATAATTTTTTACTGACCACAGAATTTTATATGATTCCAAAAAGATTAAGTCTTGCCTCTTCAAGACTTTAAAACAGGTTACTTTTTTCTATTACATGCTTTTCATAAACATTCAGATCCTCTAGCAAAAGCAACTGATTCATTTATTTTTAAAAAATCATCATTTTGCTGACACGACAGTTCTTGCACTACACCTAATCTCGGGAGCTTTCTTCACTTGTAAAGATTTTAGCACTGTAACATTTGTTTATTCCTCTATGGCAGAGGCAAAATTTTCTTACAGTAACTTAATTCTTCGGGTTTTTAGAATGTTACAACAGTTATTTCAAATTCAAGAGAAAAATTGTTGATTGCTGAAGTGCTAGGAGTTAAAGAGAGGAGAAAATAAGATTGTTATAGAACAAGCTACAACTTTTCTGGTAGTATATGTGTGTGTGTTTCCAGTTTTAGTGCTGTTGAATTTTTAAAAACAAATGTCTTACTGCACTCTTTTATTCAACATTTTTTAGTTTGAGCTTTTGTTGCTTTTACCTCTGCTTTCTACAACTTCCCTGTGTTTTGAGTATACTTGTGGTTTCTTTCATCTGCTTTAAGAGATGTAGTTATATTATTGGAATATAAAAAATGTACTGTTATGCTTGTATCTCAGAATCTAGACCTTTCATCATTTATATAGACGTGTTTAACTATTTGCTCATAGGAGGATCAGTACGCATGCCACTTTTTTGCAGAATTACATAGCAAATTTAAACTACTGTTGCGCCAGCGAGATTACGTGACTATTTTAACGCCACCTATTTTCTAGAAGTATCTTGTTCCTTCGTGAATGCCCTAGCATTTACAAGATATATATTTGTCTGGTATATATATATATATATATATATATATAAGACGCTCACAATGTGACAATATTGTAATGTGTATGTAGATAGTGAGTAATTGAACTGCAGTCAGAAGTATTGTTTACGTTCGTCTATATAGCGTTTGTTATAGAGCGACTGCTGAAAATAAGTGTATCGTAAAGTTGTATTCGGAAAGAATAAACCAGTTTTATTAAGTAAGAACTTGTGTCGCTAAAGTTTCGTCTGAACGAAGTTACGGAAAGTTAATTAACAA